AGAGTTTAGAAAAAAAGCAGGACTCTGCTCAGCACTGTCAGTACAGACACTTTTATTTGCAGCTGTGCTCCAGGGCTGCATCTTGTACGTAGGTATTAGGAGATCCAGGCCTAGAGGAATCCCGCGGAGTAGCTAGTGTTTTATGGCTACATGCCCTGTTCAACACAAGGTTATTAAATTTGTTGGGGGTGGTTGGCTTTATAGGAGTGCAGCTCTCCAAGTCTGTGAAACACACTTTGAATAAAGGGATTGCAAAACAAGAAAACAGCTGCCTTCCTTTCCTCTCTTTGCTCAGCTTATTCCATCATTTAGAAAGGCTGTTTTGGGTTTTTTTTTTTCCACTTTGGGGTACAGGAGCATGACAAAGCTGTCAGCAGCCGATGCCACAGAGATTCCTCCAGGTGAACCATACCCAGCTCCCCTCAGTGGGATCGTGCCTCCCTCTCCCATTCCCTTTCATCCAAGCGGCCTCCCTTAGAGGCCACACACGTTTCGGTAATGATCCACTTGGAGCTGAAGCCTGGTCTCTCTCCAAGCAGATGCAGTTGCTTCTGCCAGAGAACAAGCCCTCTCCATCAGAGGACGGGGTGGTTACAAGTGCACGTCTCAGGCTCCAGAGAGGGTCCTTGCCCCCATAAGACAAGGGAAAACAAGCAGAAGTCCTTTCCTTCCCACATGTGACCATTATCCCAACACGCTGTCATTGAAAGCAAGGCAGACGACTGCTTTCTGGTGGCCGCTGTATTCCCTCTTGATCTCTCCTGTCTCCACGCACCAAAGTCTGGCCAAGTTATCAGAGGAGGCTGGAACAGAAAGTGAAGAAATACATTGCCTTACCCTTTAAACTTTTATTTTATTATTATAAGAAAGACTTTCCTCTTGCTTCATTCAACACCATTATTAGGGCTGTTGATGACAGGTAAGGGAGCTGTGCAGAGCAAGAATCTTAGTGCATTTCTGATTTATGTGAGGTTTTCATTATTTCGGAGAAAAGTTACTGTGGAAATTACAAGTGTGTTTTGAAGGGACTATCACACTGCGTACTGCAAGCAGCACTGCTACCAGGCGAAATAAACTGCACACAGGAAGATCATCTCTCCAGGTTAAATAGATGCCCTATTGCAGCACAGGCAAAATGCTTCATGGAGTTAGTAGACTGCGCTGCAGGCGCGAGGCTGGGGGCTCTCTCCTCACATACACCGGGTTTGGCAATGTCCCAGTTAGAGAAACCACTAAGTCCTGTTGCTAGCGCAGGTCTCTGCTGCTGGGGTCTGGCATAGCCCAAATCAAGTGGTGGGCCAAGTGGGGGAGTGCAGCAGTGCCTCACCTGTGACGATGTACTGGGAGTCCCCGGAGAATGCGCAGTCCCACATCCAGCCCCGAGACGTTTCCCCTGGGTTATTGCTCTTAATGCTCAGCTCTGTCATCAGAGAGAAGTTTGAAGTCCTCCAGATCTTACATGTCTGATCTGCAGAACATGTAGCCAAGAGCCTGCAAGGAAGCGACATGTGAGGGCAACCTTATTAGTCACGCTGTACGCCTAAGGGCCTCTTGTTAATGTGGGCCTGGAACAGCAATCAACCGTAGACCTGTGTTCATTGTAAGCAGATTTCTTTCCACCTATATCATCTGCCTTACGAGATTCAAGCTGAAGAAACTCAGGGAAGGAGTACGCCAAGTTCATGACTTTGCTCCCACAGATCAGCAATTCGATCCCAGCTGTAAGAACAGCTCATGGCTGCAAAGCTTCCTGAAATCATGGAGCACAAGGCCGGGATGCCACTGACAGCAACCCAGTCCCAGTGTGTCCTGTGCTGCTCCTCCCTGGGGAAATTGCATGGTCCCACATAGAACCAGCATCAGCCAACAGCTGGAGGCACAGCTGGTCTCTGCCTGCCTGGAAAGGTAGGTGAGGGGCTGGCACGCACTCACGTGGAGTCAGGGCTGAACTTGCACTGAAGGGCGTAGCGGTTGTGTGCTGGGATCTTGGTCTTGGGGATCAGCTGGGTCACCTCCTCTCCGATGCCACCCGTGAGGTTCCACACGTAGCAATTTCCCTGCGGTGAGACAGGGGGATGTGTGGCCGGGCTGGTGATCACCCACCCAAAAGCAGCCTGGACTTTCCATGTCTGACCACAGCGCAGCAAAGCTGCAGGCAAAGCAGGTACGTGCAAATCATCTGCCTCTGCCCATGGGAGGCACAGCTCAGCAGCTGCCGGAGCACTGTAAATCCCATCCCGTGTTTGAGGCCGTCGGAACTCACCGAGCTGTTGACAGCCGCCATGTAACTGGCATCGGGGTCAATGTGAACTGAATTCACGGAAACTTCAGGCTCTGGAATCAGCTGCTCATTGTGGTCTGTCTTCAGGTCCCAGATGTGGATGGCACCACTCTGATCACCCACAATTAGCTCTGCCTGCAAGAAAACAGCAGCCTCGTCTCTCTGAGGAGAACCCCACAAGCAGCATCCCCAGGCCAATGCCAGATTGTGCCCATGTAGCACCACGTGGAGCCTTGCTCTGGTTTTAATCACCAGGGTCCTGTTCTGCCTAATTATTCCCTAGCACAGGGCTGTTTCAGAGCTCCAGCAGCTTGCTGACCGCCCCTGTACGCTGAGAGCAAACACAGTACTAATCTCATGTTACACTCTGCAAAAAGGCTGTTTACCTTTACAGAAGTGTTTGCTAATTTTTTAAACCCGAGAGCAGACAGCTGCTCCCTGATTTCCAGAACCGTTGCACAGCTACAGCTCCAAACAACATCCACAGAAGCCAAATGACTTTCAGCACATCTGAGAAGTGGGCATTAAGACGCAAGTTGGCCAGTGAACAACTGAAGCACTCAAGAGTGTACAGATACCTGAAAACCACAAGCCTAAATGGGTTTTTCTCTCTCTCCCCTTCTCAGGGGAAGGACAAGAGCCAGCTGAAGGGCAGGAGTTCTGGCTCCGATCCTGTGCTCAGACCAGAAGATAATGCTGGCGGCTCTCCACTAAAACCAGGGCTTTTATCGACAGTCTTGTGCTGTCCATAATTTTAGCAGAATCCCTAGAGGAGATCAGGTCATCAGACAGAGCTAATCCTGTACCTGTGATCAAAGGCTTGTTTCTGAGGAAGACAATCCTCGGTCGATATATTTAGCTGACTGCACAGTGCAGAAGCATCTTCTGGACGCCTCAGCCCTCAGCCCCCTCTTAGCAGGCGTAAGTGCAATTGCTACAGCTGTCATGGCGTTACCAGGGCCATGAGAAATCTCTCTCAGTTAACTGGATCAGCATTGCTGCAGCAGGGGATTGCAGAGCGATGAAGCTATCTGAATAAATACTGCCACCTCTGGACTAATTTACTGGGTTCTGTTCACAAACCAACACTTCTCCTGCAACTCGGCAGCATCTTGGTTAGTGATTATTTCACATGTAAGATGTATGTACAACAGTATTTGTTTTAATGTAATACATTCTCAGAGCACTAGCACTACAGGAGCATCAGCAGCATTTGGGTAAAGTCTGGTCCAAATAATTGATCTCAAATCTGGTCTGAAATGCTGGACTTGCAAAATCAAATGCACAAAGAAACATCTCTATTACTCAGCTTTTTAAAAGGTTTGCACTGCAACGTCTGCAATCGAACCCTGCAGCACTGTGTATACAAAATGGACCAGACAGGTTATTAACACTGCAATGATACGTTATTGATTTTCAGCGCCGTCCCCTCTAATGCACCACGCTCCCTTTCAGCCTCGCTTCCTGAGCACCAGAACATCCCTCTGTTTATCAACAGCTTCTGAACCAAGTAGGGAATCTCAAGTAAATCTGACAGAAGTCCTGAAGGTAAAAGGGGCCACAGGTGCCCAGATGCTTCTTCTCGGCAGTAGTGCTACCCTCGAGCTTCCCAGCCCACCCTGCGCCACCAGTTCCACTCACAGCACATGCCCTTGGTTATGTTCTTGGGACAGAGATGGCCCCAAAGGAGCGTTCCCTCCTATAGAACAAGAGGCTCAGCGCAGCCACTACGCTCTCTCTTTGCAACAGTCACCAGGCAATTAGCACAAATGAGCTCAGCGGACACAGCCCCCAGGCTGCAGCACGGACGCCTGCCGCAGGCAAAACACAAACCTCCAGTACTTGCTCTCTCCCAGTGCTGCTGCTTGGGGAGGTCTGCTCCACTGCGCAAAGCAACATTGGATTTCCTCAGACAGACAGAGGGACCGCATGTCTATCGTGCCAGCTCCTGTGTTGTGTGGGCTGCATTCCCACACTGACCCAAAGCTCCCAGTAGCAGCAGCTCAGCGAGGGAGCAGGCAAACGGGGAGCCTGGGTGCAGGAAGCCAACTGCTGCTTGTCCAGCAATGCCACCAAGAGCTCATGGGTCTGTGCCACCAGGAAGGCCACCCTCCAGATTTTTTGCTGTGTCTGCCAGTATAAAACTCTGCCGCCCCTCAGGTTTACCCGGAGGAGCCACGGCAAAGCATGAGCTGGGAAATCACAGAAGAGCCGGTGCTCACCTGGTTGGGGTGCAGGCAGACGCAGTTAATAGGAGCGTTCACCTGGAAAATCCGTTGACACTGGAGGTTACGAGACCTGCAACAAAATGATGAGAAAGGAGCGTGTTTAAGAGTGTGCAATCAGCTCCACCGCCCCTGGGGTGCTGCTGGAGGGGGGAAATGACTGCCGCCTCTACGCACCTCAGGTCCCAAATCCTGGCCATGCAGTCCTCCCCGCCCGTGTACATCCACCGCCCGTCCTCGTGGAAGCCCACGGAGGTGATGTTCTTGCTGACGCCGTCGTAGTTAATGACGGGGTTGGGGTTGTTGGAGTTGAGGTCATACATGCGGATGTGCTGGTAGCCTGCAGCAACGACCGGGCAGGGGATGACCACCGTTCCCCTGCCCGGTGGCGGCGCCCGGGGCAGCGGGGGGCTGGGCGGGCTCACCTGCGGCAGCGATCATGCTGCGGTCCGGTGTGATCTCCAGCGCGTTCACCTGCTGCAGGCCCCCGGTAAGGTCGGTAAGAAGCCACAGCCGGGG